ATTCTTTCTTACCGACTCGTCGATAGAGAAAGTTCCCTATAGAAATCTATTTACCGATAACAAGTAAGTATCCTGTTTTACCATCAGTTACTCCCTTGTGTACACAATTACTACATGTCTTATCGTCGATAAAACAGGACACTAGTTAATTTTTTATCCTTTTCTTGTTGCAGGTAAGTCGTGGAAAACATTTATGCATGCACGAAGCTGTTGAGTTACGGAATAAGGTGAGTTTGTATGAATCTTATTATTTCCATGTATCAGATTAGGAAAGATAATAGACCTTCCTGCAAATTGGTGGATGTTACAAATTAAGTATTATTCATACCATGAATATATATTGTTATATTTAATAATATTGTTATATTTAATGAACACATAATTACTGCAATAATTATGTTATATTATTCGCTATTTCTGCATAATTTTTTACTCGGAATTTTATATTTCGCGTAATTAAAAGTCTTAAATTATGCGATATATGGCAGGTATTAGTAGTGACTATTTCTATTTTTATATCATGTTAAACGAAACATTGGATGATGTATTTCCAATCGAATTTTGTTCAAAATATCGACTTATCCTCCTCTGAAGAGATTAAAGTGATGAGAAAGGAAGAATGTTCTCCTGTTCTCGGCTGATGCCATTTCGAGTATCAATTTTCTTCGTGGTGTTTACTTTAGCGGAAATTCTCCTAGTGTCTTTGGATTTTACCAGAAACGCGTGCAAATAGCATTTCGTCTAATTTGTTGGCCCGAGTGAATGCAATTTTATTCGTCTGGCGAGTTTCAAGTGGTTCACTGAGAGTATTTCAGTGACTCAGAACAAAGAGATAAGCAATTTACAATTGCATAGTATCCGCGTGGAAAGTTTAACGATTTCCGTAATTGTATGTGCGTTTGTAGTTGGCTCTGATAATTGGACGAAATTCATTCCGTCATTGAAATGGTGCGTTTAATGTAAATGCTGTATCTGCACTTTGTTACGTAGCCAATGCAGTAATTACAAGTTGCAGTTCGATACACTACTCTAACTGCTTCTGTGACTCGAATCAATTAAATTACCAACGTTTCTTCACCTCGTCAAGGTTTTATTTTTAATTCATTATTTACACGTTAAAAATTAGTCGTATTTATAGATTTAGTGATGACTATAATTGCCTGGAATCGTTTCTCAATCTTGTAAATTGAATATGTGAGCTTATAACGAGGAATTATCGTGACTATAAGCTTCTAGTCTGATATTTTCTACTTATGAAAATAAAGGTGACTATAACTGTTTGCAACAACTTTTCAAAGCAGTAAATTAAACATCGGGGCTTATCATATGGAGTTGTCGTGACTACAGGTTCCTAATTCAACATGTGGCATTACATGTCGTATTCATGAATATAAAGTTGACTATTACTGCATAGAACAATTGAGTAAATTAAGAACTAGGGCTAATCATATGAAATTATCGTGACTATAAGCTACTTATGTATCACTTCATCTGTATAGGATTTTAAACGACAATTACATGAAAGAATAGTCATACGTATAATACTTCGCTGCGATTTTGAGCTCCATAATCAGGGACTATAACTACATTACTTAATGCTACAACTCATCAAACATAATTATATCTTAGGTTCTCGTAAAGCTGTGACTATAACAGTGCATCGTAATATTTAGAATATAGTGATCTATAGTTTAAGTTTTATGTTTTCATAGGATTGGAAGGCTAGTGAGGTGTCCATAACACCTGCATGAACTACAGTTGTAGAACTAAGGATCTACGCAACGAATAATTTTCTCTTACAAATTTAAAAGAAACTTCTGCTACGTAATAGTCAGTAGTTTAAAAAGACTATAATTTCCTTATAAGATATTTAAAGATTCCATGTTCTTGACGGAAGTTTATATCAAGGATAATTCGTGATACCTATATAATTTTCAATCCCCAAATTGACGACTATAACTTTTTCTTCAATGTTTCAATCCATAAGACTTCAAACTGCATCCTAAATGCAGCTATATCCACAATTCTAATATTCCCATTAAAAACTTTTCAAAAACTCATTTTAAACTTTCAACTCGCAATAGGGTTTTACGTTTGAGAAAAACTATGACTATAAATCCTCAATAATATAATTTTGTTCCAGTAACACCAAAAACTATTCAAAGCACTAAACAATTATCCCTCGCTCTTCTCCTGTAAACTATAAACTAAATTAAGTACTATAAAATAGTCACGAGTCATGACTATAATCCTATTCTAAGTCTCCACGTTGGACAAAGTAACCATTAGCTATCACTATACAATTTTCAACTTCCTAATTCATGACTATAACACTCTCATACATTATCCAGACTAATAAGTCATATATGTAGTGTCATGAACATGTAGTCGTGGTTTTGACACCCCAAGACTATATTTCGGAACTTCGAGCTTTCAGTCAGGTATAAAATCGTGTCTACAACCCCCAAAGGACGTGACCTCTAACTTCGACGATTACGAAGGAACTAGGTCCCGCCTATCGATTGATCTGGTGTTAATATTTCCCTATAAATTCCTAGAAGCAGACTGGCAGCCTCCAAGAAGCCGTTTCGGGTTGAACGCTATCGGGAGAATTTATATTGGACGCGTTTCATTGGACATGCCCGAAAATCGATAGCTCACCAACCGTGTCATCGAGTCCCAATCGCGTTTTACTCGAAACGGCGCACCTGCAATTCGCCGGCCCTATTGTCCTCCACGGTCGAGTTTAACGAACTTCCTTAATTGTCTGCCTCTCGCACTCTTCTCGGCCATTGCAACTTCAGCTCGTACCTCCTCGTGTCCAAGACGAAGGGATCACGGCAAGGGTGTTCCACAGACTTATACATCTGCGACGAAGGGTGGGATGGGAGGAATCGCGTGACTATAAGGAGAAAGGGAACGAAAGGTTCCCTTCAGGGTTGTCTGGAAGATTGGATAGTCTCTCTTGGTAGTCTTGGATACCGATACAGGACCCCCAACCCGCCAAGATGGCGCGATTAATCGTTTCGTCTGAAAACAGTTCCTCAGAGACGAGATCTCAGTCGCGCCATCTGCGAACATAACAAGGAACTTTCTGCGGGGGATCGTGTTATTCTTTGGAGTATAAAGATTCCCGGGTGTTATGGATTTCAGGGAGTTATTACGCAGAGAATGCTCCACGCAATTCGGCCAAGTCGTAACTATAAGACAGTCAAAAGTGACGTAAAATTTTATTAAACCGAAGGAGATGGTTTCGAACGGCGCATCACGCGATGTATGCGTCTTCGAATGCGGAGGCGTTGTGAAGATCCCAAGGATACTCATAAGCTTCCAAACGTAGCTATGTTTCTTCTCATATCGTTTTATGGGTTTTTTATTCGGTATAAAATGGTAATCGATGAAGGGAACGATTCGCATCACTTTTATGCGACCATTCTTTATCTGCATGGAGGATAACGTTTGCTTCGGAAACAACACTTTTATAGTCACTAGGAGAACTGCCGCAACGTCATTTGCGAACATAATTCTTGAGAAATTTGAACTTATGGTAATAAATCTTGAGCAGCAGGCAATTTATTGCGTTCAGAAAATTCCATACCATGAAAAGTATCATGTTTCATCCTGAGAAAAAGGTCCTGATCCACGTACGATTCGTCAGCAACCCCATTTACAATGACGCCATTGTAATATACTATGCTTGTATGTACAATACATATTTACATCATGCATCGAGAAGCACGATAGTAACTCTTTCATGAAACATTCTCAAACGATCTCCAAGTAACGTCAACCCCTGATTTATCACAGATGACTATTCAGATTTCAGATAATAGATTAGGTAGAAATTGTCTCCCTCTGCATTCGGAAGCCCCATCTGTCAACTTGCAAGTTTCATCCTTTCGAGAGAGTTCAAAGATCCTTGAAAATCCCCGAAGACACCATGGAATCCTCGCTTCCATGGCATGATCATCGCTGGCATCACGGCACGTTGCGAAGTTAGTGAAGTCGTAGCCCAGGCTGAAGGACGGTTATTGATTGGCTGCCTGTTGCTTTTAACCCTGCCACTGCTGCGGTTACACACCCCCGCAACCTCCCCGCCCTTGTTCCCTGCTTCACGAGCCTCCTGTCGTCTGCTAATGGATACCATGCTTCGTTCTCTGACTATTTGGATGCTTTCGATTTTTCCATCCTATCTTCACCCCTTTGCTTCTCTACTGGGAGTTGCTGTCATGCGAAGTTAGTCCAGAGCTACAACACCCTCATCGAGTTGTTTATGTTTGTACTCGGAATCGGAATATTGTACGTTATGGATTTGGAGACAACTTGAATTGATAGTTATGGCTGAACAGGATGTCCTCCTGTGAGATTCTGAGCTTGTCAATGTAGGAGTATGTAGCAGGATGTAGGCTTGGGTGTAATTGTCTCTTGGTCTAGGCTAGGGAGGACTCGAACGATCTACTCGAATGAGTTAATGGACAGAAGCTGTCATGATGGCTTGACAACCCTGTGATCGATGCTTTACGATAATCCTATTGCCGAAATTCTCTCATATAGCTGGGAGAGGATGAAAGAGAAGGTAATTAGGAGTATGTAAGCAAGTGTAAGGAGACTACATTCTGGATGCAAGTTAGAGAAGCCTCCTGATAATTTACTGGTATGAATTCGCTTGATGATTTATGGTCTAAGATAGTCCACCCTATTTCTGATAGGATTTAATAAAATTAAGGTAGTCTGAGACGTCTTACACACATCTGTCAACCATCTAAACAATTATTAGAAACACTATCACTGTCAATAGGCAATTCCTAGCTCAACCTCATCTCTTCCCAATACTTGTCCCCTTTGACGTAATCTGGACATGAATGACATGTCCTATTACACGATAGCAGTCATCCTGATCCAATAAGATGGAACACACTATTCTTCAAGCAGAGTTTGAGAGTTCAGTTCAAAGGTTTGGAGTTTAAAGGATATGGAATTTCGTGAAATTGAAAATTCAGGCATCAGAGGTTAGAGACAAAGACTTATGACATAGGCAGAGACAAAATTGCTGTCAATCTAAGCTCATTCCAGGTTCAGCTTGGAATGGTTATGTCATCTAACCCCGAATTACAGGTCTTGTTACATGATCCTGCTGTTGCTGAGCATTTCAATCAAATAAGATGGAGAACACTATTCCTCGAGCAGAGTTTGAGAGTTCAGTTCAGAGGTTTGGAGTTTAAAGGACGTGGATTTTGAAAAACTGGAAATTATAGCTTTAGAGGTTAGCAAAGGAAGCCTATGACACAGACAGGTTCATACAGAAATGTAAGCAAGGAGGCCAATTGTCATCCTGGCGAACGCATGATTCATGATACTGAGAGTCGTCTACTGGAAGATATGATATATGATAGAGTAGCATAACAAAGTTAGTCGAGTTGGCTTTATGGTATAAAGTTTTCGGACAAGTGCTGTGCTGGTTCCTTCTAGCAGGAATTTTATTCTTCCTCGCTGCGTTAAATCACCCAGGAACAAATTTTCTGTTCCTTAGCGAAAATCATGCTGGGCTTCTCTCTACTCCTTGACTTTCTCACGTTCCTCCTCGAGCGATCAATTCTTTGGCGCCCGACAGCTACGTGACTCCGAGTCACTAGCTATCGTTGGACATTTGGTTTACCCATTCTGACTCGCACTTTCGTTGGCCACACGCAATCTAGATCCTTGCCATAAATTCTTCAACAGCAAAATTGCGTTGGGCTGAAAGTCTCTATGGCGACTCGTAAAATATTGCTAAGATGATCTTTCGTTGAATCATTCGCAGAAGTTAGGAATGTCAGGCATGTTGGGAAGCATTGGAATATAGTAACAAGTTTACCTTTCTGAGGTTATACAGTGGATGACAAGAGCAATTTCTACCAAACATGTTCAACGTTTGTCTGTCAACTAACCTAAATTTATTCGTGAACTTATGGCAAATTGGAGTGGTTTCTCATTGAGATCCAGAATTATTATACTTTTGAAATTTTTCTAGACATAGTGCTCAATATTTGCATTATCTTACGCAATGACCTGCATTATCTAATGACTTGCATTATCCAACGACTTGCATTATCCAATGACTTGCATTATCCAATGACTTGCTTTACCTAATGACCTGCATTGTCTGATGACTTGGGTTATCCAATGACTTGCACTGTTTAATGACTTGCATTATCCAATGACTTGTATTATATCTAATAACTTGCATTATCCAAAGACTTGCGTTATATCTAATGACTTGCATTACCTAATGACTTGCATTATCTAATGGGTGGAACTGAAACATAGAATTTTATTTATGCAAATGACGACTTGATTTCAAGATAGCATAGCCCTGTTTCAATTTACCTCACATGGAGGAAGCTTGGTAATTAGTGGTAGTTGAGTTGGACAATATTTGCTCACCATATTGGATGGTTAGCAATCTAATTAGAGACCTAGGAATTTGGGAGCCCAGTATTGCACAGATATCAAAGGTAAGGCTTATAAATGCAAACTATTAAGCTATGGCTGGAATATCTCGACCTTTATCAAGTATTGGAGTTAGGTAATTAGAATGATACTTCCATGTGTCTCATAATGACTTAGAATCAGTGGATTTCTCACAATGTGGTTCATTTCAGTTGGCTAGCAGAAGTGCTTGTAATAAACTAATCTTATATCCCTTGGCCTCTCAAGTCTGAGTTCATAATGCGACATTTGCTTTTGTTAGAGAGCTAGGATAGCCCCGGAGACGATTCAGGGGAAGGAATTGATTTCTAGAGGGGATACGAGGGTTTAAGTTCTTCAGGAAATTGACCATTGCGAAGTGGTCAGAAAGGATTTGGTACAGTCTGGAATTACAGCCATATTAAAGTCACGTATGCTACAGCAAACGACTCTGGAAAAATGAATTAGATCACAAATGGTACTTTCAATTCTAATTCCTTTTAAAACATTCGCATATTTGCTGAACTACGCCTAAGCGTATAAATAGTAAATGTTTGATTCCTGAGATATCGAAGACTATCATTTCCTTGGACACAAAAGTCCGTGAAGGAATCCTGGTCGTTAAGAAACTTCAATATCCCACGATATATCATGGACAGGGAAGTATTTACATTTTTCAGAAGATTTCACACCATCGAATAAAGCATTCTCGGCTTAAAAAGCAAGTTCTCGTCCGAAAACGATTTTCTAGCTGCGAAATCAGGGATGGGGGTACTCCTACCACGAGGAGACTGAAGAAAGTCAGTTGGAGGACATCCATAGATCAACCCCTTACCCCCTTTGCCCCTTGTGTCATGAGAAGAAGCGGCTGGGCGACGAAATAGCTAGAAGATTTCTGTCCCTTCTGAACAGTGACGTCCTCCATCTTGAATTACGGACAAACCCTGACTCGGAATCCGTCTGATGGGGTTTATTCCATCCAGCCAGAGTATTTCTTTCACGAATATCTTGCTTTACCATAAGATAATACTTTCCCTCCTTGAGAAAAAGTCATTAAGTTTCTAACACCTAGGACACCCTGTCATGGGTACTCGGCGTAGGTAAGAAGTGATACCCTGCGCTAACTTTGATACTGGGAACTTAATGAACAGGTCCAGGGAATAGGCCTATTACATGAAATTTGTAATAGAGAAAGGCAGAGAGTAGGCTAGTATATCAAATTTGTTTCGGGGTCCTGTTGCCATTGAAGTGAGATTTTGTTTCTCATCTGGACTTCGAGATCCTTGCAATTGGATCGACGAATTGGATGATAACCACAGACAGTGAGCACCACTGACGTGATCGTGATTATAAATGTGGTAGCGAAACGATCCTAATCGCAAGTTGCACGAACACTTTATGTGCTTCCTCGTGTGACATTGAACTAATAACGGGCTCGAATGACACCGTCTTAGATGATCCAACCGCGTGACATTTACTGCCATTGATACTACCTCGATGATCACGTGTGTGTGACCTTGATACTACTAAAAAGTGTCACGAAGAGCTGATGATATGACCTTGATAGCTTTCGTATAACCTAGAAACTGTTTTGAACACGAATGACATGACCTCGATGACCGTTTCGTATATTATTGACTGTCAATGACACTCCATGATCGTCACGTCATTTAGATATAACGTAAATGGAACTGAATGTTAATGACACGATTTTTTTGAATAATTGTATTTTTTAATGACTTCGATATGGAATGGCATAATCTTGACAATTCTCGTGTGACTTTGAGATGATAACAAGTGCCAACAATATGACCTCTGTGACCTGTAAGTAACCTTGAGTTTCAATGACCTTTGATTTCGATCTCGATGATCTTTTCACGACCTTGAATTGACATTCGACGCCAATTTCACGACATACGAGACCTTGAAATTACCTCGAACTGCAGTGTCACGATCTAAATGATCGATGATCTGCGTTCAATTTTCAATGACATGATACACGTAACTTTTATTTTATTTTTAAACGACCTTGAATGAAAATTCAAGGTTGTGATGACCATGAGCTACAGATTGACCGCGAATTTGAAGAAGAATCGGTCATTTCGATGGCCAAAAATGCGATCTGAGGGAAGATGGTGCTACACAGCGATGATTTTGAACTTGATGGACGTGATTTGATATACAGACGCCAGAAAATAGGTCGCTGTCCATCGGGAGGATATTCACCTGCGTCCAACGTTTCATCCGCGGCGTAATAATTTTCGCGGCCTCGATGGACGGCCATGTGTACGGTTGCACAGCGCATTTAACGAGATTTAATCAGCGATCAGTGCCACGTAAATAACTTATCGCCGGCAACAATAATGAATTTTCGACAGTTTCGCGCGCATTGACTGCGTCGTCGGTCTGGCAGCCGACACGGATGAGTTTCGAGATTCGAATCGAGATTACTGTGTCTCGCCTCTGTTGCAATTTCGAACTTGCTAGTTAGCTTCTTAATTGGGTTTTAGCGAAGGAATCTAGATAAGTTGAAGTAACGATCAACACGGTTTTAACGACTTCGATGTTGCCTTAATAAATACGTGGGCTTCCAGAGACCCTGAGAAGTTGAAATTGTTAACTGACTTCGTGGTTGGTTATAGGTGTATCATGAAATTTGAGAAGAATATTTTTGTACAAAATTAAGATCGTCGTGTGATCGTGACTGATATTTATTTTATAGAAACGATTTCAGAAGAGTGAATTGAAAGAGAGATTCTTTTTGTGGAGCAAGTACAAATTTACTTGAGCTCTTGTTTATTTAGGATTGCAGCAACGAAGTTAGAGTACGATTGCTGGTATATATTTATTTAAAATATTTGTATAATTTGTCTATTTATGAAATATTGGAATTTGTCTGTGGTGATTAATGATGAATATCATGGAAAGTAAAATTAGTGAATAAAATGATGAGATATTCAAGAGAATTTTATTTGTGCATGAATTTTAATTTCTAAAATTTGAATATGAATTAAATAAGAAATAATACTATATACTATATTATACTATTGTGTATACTATAATAATACTATTGTGTATAAAATATAATACTATTGTATTGTATGTAATACATATTATATGTAATTATATGTATTGTATTAAATATGATACTATAATAATACTATTGTGTGGAAAAATGTAGGAAAAATGGCGTTTAAATGAAAAATTGACAATATTTGCTCACCATATTGGATGGTTAGCAATCTAATTAGAGACCTAGGAATTTGGGAGCCCAGTATTGCACAGATATCAAAGGTAAGGCTTATAAATGCAAACTATTAAGCTATGGCTGGAATATCTCGACCTTTATCAAGTATTGGAGTTAGGTAATTAGAATGATACTTCCATGTGTCTCATAATGACTTAGAATCAGTGGATTTCTCACAATGTGGTTCATTTCAGTTGGCTAGCAGAAGTGCTTGTAATAAACTAATCTTATATCCCTTGGCCTCTCAAGTCTGAGTTCATAATGCGACATTTGCTTTTGTTAGAGAGCTAGGATAGCCCCGGAGACGATTCAGGGGAAGGAATTGATTTCTAGAGGGGATACGAGGGTTTAAGTTCTTCAGGAAATTGACCATTGCGAAGTGGTCAGAAAGGATTTGGTACAGTCTGGAATTACAGCCATATTAAAGTCACGTATGCTACAGCAAACGACTCTGGAAAAATGAATTAGATCACAAATGGTACTTTCAATTCTAATTCCTTTTAAAACATTCGCATATTTGCTGAACTACGCCTAAGCGTATAAA